CTTGCTCTTCTTCCATTACCAACTACACATTTGATAAAGCCCTCAGCCAAATCTCTTAGGCGGAGAATAGATCTCCAGTTCCAGGAATCTCCCTGCTTCTCCACTTGGTTCCAAAAAGAAGTTTGATGGTTCCAATTGTGGAGCTTATGCCAAGCAACCCAAAGAGACCCACTAGTTGAAAAAAGGAGCCAAACAAGTTTGAGACATAGAGTTCTGTTCCAGCTTGCAAATCTTCTTAACCCCAATCCTCCCTCCTCTTTAGGCAAACAAACTTGAGCCCAGGAGACCTTTACTAACCCTTTCCCGTCGATTGTCCCCGCCCAAAGAAATCTTGAGCAAAGGGATTCAATTTTTCTAATACAACTCAGCGGAAGAATGAAAGCAGATATCCAAAAATTAACCATTCCAGAGATAACGGATGCAATAAGTTGAGTCCTGCCGGCAAAAGAGAGAGACTTAACCGCCCAAGAGTTGAAGCGACTAGAGATCTTCTCAATGAGAGGAGCATACTCTGACACCTTAAGCCTTCTACTCATTAAGGGGAGTCCCAGATAACGGATTGGGAGCGACCCAACAGTGAATCCATAGCTAGAAAGGGCTAAGGATTCAGGTTGGCTCAAACCCGCATGGTACAGCTGAGTTTTATCCCTGTTCATGTAAAGTCCCGACCACCCTGCGAAGTCCTCAAGCGTTTCATAAATACCGTGGAGAGAAGAGCTCATCCCATCAAAGAAGATCATAACATCATCAGCAAACATCAAGTGGGAAATTTGGAGCTCAGATGTTCTTGGGTGATAGGAGATGTAACCCGATTCATACCGAGATTGAAGCAATCCAGAAAACACCTCCATAGTTAGGACAAAAAGATAGGGGGACATAGAATCACCTTGACGAAGCCCTTTTGTACTCTTAAAATACCCAGTAGTTTGCCCATTCACAATGACCGAAAAGCTTGCAGTGGAAATACACTCATGGATCCACCCTATGAATTTTTCCGGAAAATTGATGGCTCTAAGGCAAGAAATAACAAATTCCCACCTTACCGAATCAAATGCTTTCCTCAAATCCACCTTAAGCATTGCACTCGGTTGAGCATCCTTTCTGTTATAGCCCTGGACTATCTCAGTTGCCAGTAAGACGTTTTCCAATAACAATCGGCCTGGCATAAAGGCAGATTGGCAATGGTTAATCGCTGAGGGAAGGAAAGCTTTAAGACGCCCTGCCAAAAGTTTAGAAATCACTTTATAAACCGTATTAAGGCAAGAAATGGGCCTGAAATCCGAGATCCGAGAAGCATTAGGGATCTTGGGAATGAGGACCAAGTTAGTAGCGTTCCATTGCTTGAGAATCTTCCCCGAACTAAAGAATTCCAACACATCATCAGTAATTTCTGTCCCAACAATGGACCAGGTTGTACAGAAGAACTCGGGAGTGAAGCCATCAGGGCCACTAGCCTTGTTTTTGGGAAGGGAGAAGAAAGCTTGACGGATATCTTCCCTAGTAAACAAAGAGTCAAGCTCTGTTTGTTGAATCTCAGAACATTTAAACTTAAGGATGTGAGAAACATCTTCTTGAACAAACTGGGAAGGCACTTGTTCTCCACCTAGAGAGGTCTGAAAGTAATCAACACAATGACTCTGGATTCCCATCTGAGAGTCAATGCGATTTCCTTCAGCATCATACAAAAAGTGTATATGGTTAATTGCCTGTCTGGAATTGGCCATTTTGTGAAAATAAGCAGAATTCATGTCCCCTTCTCTTATCCAAGTTACCCTCGATCTTTGGAAAAGGAAACTCTCCTCAGCAGTGGACAAAATGTACCATTTACGCTGCATCTCAAACTCCACCTCAGCATTAGACACACTAGGATAATGGAGCAATTGATTTTGAGCTTCTGTCAACCTAACATGAGCCTCAGCAGTTCTCTTCTCAATGTCTGAATAATTAAGCTTACTGAAATCCCTTATAATTTGCTTCAACGCTTTGAGCTTCTTAGAGACACGATACATTGCAGAGCCTGTAAGATTCAGGGAATACCAATGGTACCCAATTAAAGGAACAAACTCAGGATTCTTCAACAGAAAATTGTAGAACCTGAAAGGTTTCCTACACCTCGGCTTAGCCGTATGGAAGGAGACTTCACAGCAGGCATGATCAGAGAAATCCGGGTCACCAAACAGACCCAAAGAAGAGGGGAAGAGAGAGATCCACTTGTCATTCACAAGAATGCGGTCAAGCTTTTTTGCAATAGGGGCACTTTTCCTTTTATTCCACCATGTAAACGTGTTACCTCTAAAGTTGAGGTCGACTAGCCCAGCTTGGAGAAGAGTTTCTCTGAAAACTCTAGTAGGGCTGTCCACATTAAGATTGGCAGGGGAGGAGTGTTCTGAAGGATGAAGAGTTTGGTTAAAATCACCTAACACCAGCCAAGCTTTGTCCTGAAGAATACCATTAGAAGAGAGATCAATCAACTCTCTCCATAATTCCAGGCGAGAAGCTTCATCATTAGCAGCATAGATAGAGGAAATGAAAACAGGTTCAGCACAGTCTGGAAACTTGACTTCACAACAGATCATTTGCAGAGATTTGGAAACAATCACAACATGAATACTCGGATGCCATAAAACCCATATCTTTCCGAGATCAGAAAACTCATAATTATTATCAAAAGACCAACCTGGCAGCATCGAGTTAAGGAACTTATGCTGTTTAGGCTTCTTAACATGAGTCTCCACGAGACTACCAAAAAGTGATCGATGGTTACTATACCATTTTTTAAAACCGCGACGATGAGAAGCAGAATTCAAACCGCGGAGATTCCAACAAAAAGTGTCACTATCCATAAAAATTATAGGTTTTTGGGGCCATTGCCCCTCGCACTCCGCTGTTGCCGCTGCGACAACACCTTTGTGAACCTCAACTCGTCTTCTAGATCAGT